CCGATGGGAAGCAGTGAATGAATTCCTTGTTTTGCTTTGCTTGTGCACATGGCTTTTGCTTTACCTATTGAACTGTCTTTATCTCAACCCAAGAGTTTTCTCACTCTTCTGATTCTCTCCACCATCCCACGGGGGGGCAGTGAGCGAGCAGTTGTGTGGTGCTTAGTTGCCGGCTGGGGTTAAACCACAAGTTGGCATAATTTATTCACAGCACAATAATATAACAACAGGCAGAAATCTTTAGTTCCTGACCAAAGAATAAAATGTGGGTTGGGTGGTTTTTTTTTTTCCTAATGTTGCTAAAGTGATGTTTCTTTTTGTGAAAGCAGTGAAATCTAGACTAAACTCCCTCAACAAAATCAATTGCCAATCAGTAACACCTCCTTAATCTTTTAGTTCTACTGATTTGTACATTTATCCACTATCAATGAGCTTTTATTAATTTCTTAAAATCCAGACAGGCACCGGGCATTTATATAAACTAACAAATGTAGCTCTATAAATGTTTCAGCTTCTGCTTGAGATAGAAAATAAATTACACATCCTTTAATTTTAAAAACTGTTTAAGTAAAAAAGATCATTCCCCCCCGAGAGCAACTAAAAGACTTTATCACAGTCAAAGAAATCTAATGGAGGAAGCAACATGTTCAAGTCCTATTTAAGTTTATTTTTCGTATTTCCCATCATTTGCAACAGACCTTCCACACTCAAAAGAAAGAATATCCTTTGAGTGAAGAAGCTCCGTTTCTTCTTCCCATGAGATGCCAATCAGCCTTTGAACTGCATAAACTGTACTTCTCTTTCATTCCTCAAGAAAGTTTAACTTTGAGAAGTGCAGCTTCTGAAAATAATTACTCAGGAACATTCTTATGCTAGGTATTCACTGTTGCCCATTCTTTTATCGTGTGTATACACCCTCCTGGGTACTAATATTTACAGCAAATACAGAAGGACAGCAATACATTATTAAGAATTTTTATAGTGATTTTATCAATACCTGTAGGAAATGCTGCCCAAGCAATAGCAGGGGATGTAGTCTGATTTTCACCATTTCCACACTCATAACTCTCTGCTGCCTAGAAACACGAAAAAATTATTGTTATATATTTTACAAAATGCTATAAATTCTTATAAAAGTAGTTGAAAATAGTTAAATTTCAAAATAATCATTCAAAATTTCAAAATTAAATCATTCAAATAACATACCTCAAATCCTCCAAAGTCATCGTCATCCATCTTTCAACTGGTACTAGAATATAGCAGAAACCTTTATTTAAAAACTAAAACAAAACCACTAAATTGTTATATCCCCTTTGCTCATAAAATAGCAATAAATACTTTGTAAAACCAAAGGTATGGTATTAGTTTTAAAGGACAGACTTGGGTAGAACAAGTCACTGTAGTCAAACCCTAAAAGCCCAACAGTACGAAGTAACAAAATGCTCTACACTGCAGGAAAAACAGGTATATTTAATTGGCCAGTCTCATAAGAGAAATGTGCTGATTTTATGATCAACTAGGAGTCAAAAGACAAAATGACTCATGTATTTGTACTTCAGTTACATGACAGATGAGTGGAGACCTTCACCTGAATACAACTGCTACCTAGCTCATCTACGTGCTTTTCATAACCTCATCACCTTCTCATTTAGAAATGAGCATTCAGACTTTCATCCAAGTACTCATCTCCACAGGTTACCTGAAGTCTTCCTGATTTACAAGTTCTACAAAAGATTAAGGGACCTAAGAACTTTTTCACAAAGAGGATGCAAGGGCTAAAACTGCAAGATCTCTCTTAAGAAGCACTTTTTTACTGATCCAGATAGATGAAAAAATTGGGTATTCTACAATGGAATTTGAGCATCTTCAAGAAAAAAGATAAGCACTGCCCATCAATATTGTCAAAGATCTTTTGAAGGCAAGAATGCAGAAAAAGCTTTTCAAGATAGGAAAACAGAAAGATGGTACTTTAAAAGCTGTATCTATTGCTCTCAAGTATAGCAGTCAAGTGGCCAGTACCTCAACAAATGGTACTGAAAACAGCAGATAACCTAGTCTGGATATTAAAAATAAAAAATAAAAAAAATCCAGGAGGTAGGATTTCTGACCATCAGATTCCAAAATGAAGAATTTTCTTCATTAGTAATGAAGACGATCCAATTTAATGCAATCACAATCTACCGTGTACTTCATAGTTTTCTGTTCATGATTTAAAATATAAAAATATTTTCCATTGTTAAGTGGCTTTTCCAAATCAGCACAGTGATTAAATAAAAAAAAAATTTCCTGCTTTTCCCATCTCTTCTTAGCTGTCTGGCAACATCAGCACAAACTGCAACTTAGAGAAAGACTGTGGTGAATTTCTGGAAATTTTTCTGCTACCACAGAGGTCCTTCCCTAGGTTTCATGGAGGGGCTGATTTAGATTTTACAAACTGATCAGCATTTTTGAGTTGTAGCCCTGAATTCTGTGGCATTTTGATATATTTATAGTTCAATTGCAGTTCCTTTTACAAAAATGCAGGATAAGTTACTCAGTTAATGAAAGTAACTCAAGATATACATGGCTGTTCAAAGAAGGGTATTATATGTATTTTTTAAAAAAGTATCATTCTGATAAGTGAATGAAGGAAGATCCAAAAACCCTTTAGGGTCTTTATAGAATGTCAAAATATTTGTAAAGTTAATTGACTTCAGTTAAAATAGACTATAGGCTGGCAAAACTTTTATTACTGTGAAAACACATGCTCAGAAACAGAAGAATTCAAAGGGTTTGGAGGAATCTCCAAATTAAAGTATTAGAATGTCAGAAGGTGACACTTTCAGTTTATATCCACTGCTGAAAATCACTACCAAGAAAGACTTCAATTCAAACACACATCTTCCAAAGTTTAACAAATTAATTTCCAAGTTCTTATTGAAGAACTTAGTTTAAAACAACACTATCCACAGTGTAAGCAGACAGATTTGGTTAAATTAAAGAAGAGTATTGTCCAATATTCACAGGTGGTATAAGAACTAAATATCTTCTTAGGGACTGCAAGGGGTTTTGTTGGTTTTGGGTTGGTTGGGTTTTGTGTTTTATTTTTTAAGAGAAAAAGAAGGTAGTTGGGTATTTTTCCCATCAATGTTAACCTTAACCAGTCAAACATTCATGCATTCCATTGACATTCAAAGCTTTAACATATAACTGAAAAAAAATAACACATGCACACACAAATGATAGCAATGGAACTTGTATAGGGAGAACACCACTGCTGAAGCAGACAGCAATGCGCAAACTGAGAATGTCAACGTATTGACACTACCTACTATTAAACGTCATCCAAAAAGAGACTGGTGATTTACATAGGCACTGCAAAATGCAGCGTTCAAGTAGCAATCAGAGCAGTCAGTTGGAGAAAAAGAGGCTTTAGAAAGGTAAATAGGTATTTTATCTATACACTATGTATCACATCAACAGATCCTACAGGCTCTACCCAAAGTTACTTCAAAGGACCACAGTAATTACTTCAAAGGACCACAGCAGATTTTCTCCCCGAAGAGCAAGAGACATTATTCCCATTGTCTCAGAACTGGTTATGTCTCAACTGGAGAAAGTACATTCCATATTCAGCACTGTGTTTTAAAAAGACAAACTGGAACAAGTTCAGAGGAGCGCAACAGGAATTAAGGCAATTTTGGAAAGGCACGCTAAAATGGAGAGGCTTTTTTTTTAAATTAAAAAAGGCAAACAAAAATATCTATAAAATATGAAAAATAATGTTCTAAGAAGTAATTACTTTCATTTATCATCAAATGCAGCACTGACATAAGGCAGTAAAGTACAGAAGCCTCTGTAGGCAAACTGTGTGTTAAATACTAGTAAGGATTTCCAGGAAAGCAACATAAACCCGTACAAGAAAATTTGGAAGAACCTATATATACACAAAACAAAAGTAACTTTTGATAGAGAAAAAGGATGTAGGGCAGAAGAAAAAAAATGGAGAACAACCTGTTATTGAATCCATCATCGTTGTTATTACATTTCATATACAGTTTTCATAAGTCTGGTAATGACCACAAGACTATTTTGACCTAAGATTACCTTACCCACAAATTTTAACAGACATTTCATGGCGGTAACAGCATGATTAATTTATGAATTATTCCACACATCATTTAAATGGAATAAAAGACCCAAGCAAGTCTCAGTAGTATCAATGGTGCTTTCACACCCAAGTGCTAATCCTCCAATTTCCAGTTCTTCAGAGATCCCACAGGAATTCTAGGCTAAGTGATTCTCAAGCAGCTAGGAAGGACTGTTTGCTATTTGTGTACTATAATATATATATAGTATATTCTATACTATAATATATAGATGTACACACACGTCTGTTTTCAAAGACAAAGCTAAGTTTCTAGTCCACCAAAAAGAAATCCTGATTTGTTTACATGATTTGTTAGCTATAGGGAAAAAAAAACCCCAAAACCCAGCAGAATCAAACTGGCAAACTTAGCATGTATCACAAGTAAGCAGGCAGCAAATTAGGATAGAAAGCATAGATTAAGTCCTGAGGGACACTGACATAGGGCACTTAAACTCAAAGGCTGAGGTGTTCCCTTCAGCCAAAGAGTGTTAGCACAAGAGCTTTTTACTAGGAGATGTCTTTCCAAAATGATGTTTCTTCTTGCATAAAAAGAAAAGGGTGCTTTCTGCAAGGAGAAGGGAACAGGGCCACACCAATGTTTTAAGAACTGTTTAGAAAAAAATTAATCAAGCCTATTTTTAGCTAGGAGTCTTTCATAGCCCTGAAAAGTACACATGCATTTAGCTCTAAAAAATGTTGGGATAATTCATTGTAAACTTAACTGACAACAATGCTGAAAATATGACCAAATACACTATTTCTCAATTCCACCCCTTATTCTGGTGATGGAAATGCATTTCTGGCATAAATAAACAGCAGAACTAGCCTAACACCTCACATAGAACTGCAACAATTTTGGGAGCAGCTTTTTTTAAATCAACCATCTATTCCAAAATGGGTAATCAGACTTTTCTTTCCTCACAGACTAGGAACATTATTTGTGGCACCGGAATAGGAAAGAATACATTAAGTGCTGACAATCTGCAGAAGGATTTAAAAAATAACACAAAACGACGAAACAACCCACACAGTCTTACCATGACTAAATGTGGTCTCTTAAAATATGCCCGATACTGGAATTAAGTAACTGTAAAATTGGGCAACAAGAAGTCAACCTCAAAATTACAGATTCATAGAAATTATGGTTGGAAAAGACACAGTAGGTCATCCAGCCCAGACCATTTCCAAAACATTACAGTTCTCAAGACAGTCATGTCCTAAAAGGCTTGAGAAGCTCTCCAGTCACACTCCTGTGAGAAGAAGGAAACTTTTCATAGATCACGAATACGTAAACCACTGCATTTTTAGTAGATTTTATCAACAAATTTGTATTCATCAAATAATACAGTAATTTAGGCCAGAATTCAGACCAGCAGGTCATACAATCCAAGCTCCTGCTCAAAGCAGGGTCAACACTGCATTCAGATCAGGTTGCTCAAGACTTCCTTCTCTATGACTGATAACAATGCATGATGAATACATTCAAACACAGACAGCTGTGCACATCTGAGATGCCTGCAAGCTTTCCTACATAAAATGAAGTCACCAAAGCCTGACCATCAGCTTAAATATAGGTCATGAGAACTTTGTGAAATGCACTTACCTAACAGACATACCAAAATCATGCTTTTATATATAGGAAGATCAGGAGCCATTCACAAGGAATAAGACAGAAAAATGTAAGCTGGGAAAAAAGCCCCTCTTCCCCATTCCAGCTGTTAGGAGGAGAAGGAATGTTGTAATCCCACCAGAAATCCCGGTATTCTTCATATCCAAAGGGCAAAAGTGGTAGAGACACCAAACAGTGAACTAAGCAGGATTCTTAATTCACTTAAAAGTCTACCTCTGATTAGTAAGAATTCAAATTAATCAAGTCCTGATCTATAATTTGATAAATCAAATATAAATTTGCCTCAGTAATAAAGACAACTAATTTTGCCAGGTACATTCAACTGGACGATATATTACCCGGCCTGTAATTTTGAGTAAGTAGCTAACTTACTTGCAGAATTTTGTACAGTTTAAAGGAACAACTTACAGAGCATATTGCTGTTTGTTTTGTCAGAACAGTATGTGTGGAGCTGGCTGAGGGTGGGGCTGCTGCATTTGTATTTCTGGCA